CATACTCCGGTGCCCTGCTACCTCATTCCAGTAGCATTTACTTTTTCACAGCTGTGCCGCCAGTAGCCAGGGGCACTGAAAAATCAGCACCTCCTCAACTTGTCCTTGCCTTTCTCCACCTTTCATCCAACACTTCCCGTGTACAGAGGCTGTGGGGGGGGTCCAGGAACAGTGGGACAGTGCCTTGTGGATGGCTGATCTCCCTTCCCAGAGAAGAGTAGAGACCCAGGCACTCAAGGTCCTTTCTAGGTGCTCGTTCGGTGAAAAGCCAGCTCTGAAATATCCCACTCACTAGAGTACAGACTTACCCAGTTGGTTAGGTGTCTCATTCGGTTTTGTTTGCGTTCCTCCAAAACATTGGGTATTGTTATATTATCAGATCTGACAGACCTATTGTCTGTTCCGGGTGCTGTCTGTACCTCCCTGCATAAAGGAGCTAACCCGGCTTCCAATAAAGTCCACCCCAAATCTGCCGTGGACTTCAAGGGAGGCAGAATCGGAACCAAGATATTTAGGGCTCACTTCCTCTGGACTCGATCCAGTGCCCATTCAGGTCAATGGGAGTCTTCACATGCACATCAGTGGGTGATGGATTAGGCCCCAGAATAGTCCATTAAGGAGATTCTTGCACTTTTCTATGAAGCTGCTGGTATTGGCCATTGTTGGAGATAGGACACGGACTGAGGAGGGCAACTGGTCTGATATGATGCAGCAATTCCAACAGAGGGCACCAGCATTAGCTGTGTCTGTTTAATCTGCTGTGGTCTGGTCCAGTGGTTAGGGTATCAGTTTGGGAGGCCTAATACCAGCTCAGCTGTGTCACCTTTGTGTCCCTTCCCCGCCTTTGTCCATTCAGGCTGTAAGCTCTTTGGGGCAGGGCCTGTCTCACCTCTCACCATGAGGATGTGGTACCACGAAGTTCCAATCTGGGCAGCGGGGGGGGGCTGCCAAGTCCTGAATAAACCTGAGATTTTCTTGCTGCCACTTTCTTCTGCTCTCTGAAAGGTTCTCAGTGAAACACGGCAGGTCAGGTCAGAGAAGGCGGGGGAACTGTTCTTGCTCCGTCCCTGGAGTTGGCCTTCCCTATGCTCGGGATGTTTCTGAGGGTGTTTGTCCCTGTTGGCTATAAGTGACCTTTGCTTCTGCTTATCCAGTAAGGTTTATGTAATCATCTTATCTAGCAGAGTTCATCTAATCTGATCCCCTGTTGGGGACCTGGCTTGACTCTGGATTACACTGGGGACGTCTCCCACATGGATGTGATAAAAATGGCCTTGGCTAGGCAGGGCTTGGTTTTGCACAAGTTCTGATCCTCTCTGTGAAGGGTATCAATGCTCTCCACAAAGCCTCTCTCCAGAACTGCTCCTCACCCCCCGTTCAGTCCCAACATCCTTTTTGCGTCTGGATCGGGAAAGAGGAGGTTTACGACGGGAGCCTGTTCCCATGGCGTTGCTACAGCGGCCTTTTCCACAGCTCCTGCTGCAGGACTTTAAAAAGGACGTCCGATGCCGGGGGTGTACGGAATGAAGGGCATTTCTTCCTGGCACCTCAGCTGGGGATCAAATTATAGGGTGGAGCATGAGGCTGCCGTCTCGTTTTCATCCTCGCCGGCATGATGGCAGCTGCCATTCTTATTTCCATAAGTACCACATCTCCGTTTGTCCCCATGATAAACTAGACATGGTCAAAATCTGCCTCCCTCCTCCCTCCTCCCTGCCCCAGCAAAAAAAGATCCCATTGAAAAATGGGTTTAAGCAAACATGATTTTTTTCCATTGGAAAACAGCATTTTTAGGCCGAATTTCAGTTCCAACTTCAAAAAGTGTTCAAAATTGGCCATTTTTGGCTTTGCTCCCTGTGACCGGGACCCTGGTAACTGTGTAGCTTAGGCAACCAGGGGCTCTCTGAAGGAGAGGACCCTGGAGTGTGAGCCAAGTGGACAACAACTACCCCCGCTAGGGGGGCTCAGAGACAGGGGTGGCCCGTCCATATAGGCGAACTAGGCGGTCGCCTAGGGCACCAAGTTAAATGGGGCGCCAAATGGTGGTGCAATATCATTGAGGGATTTGGGCGTGGGGGCGCCAATTGCGTGGTTTGCCTAGAGCTCCAGTTGCTGGCAGCTAGTCTAGGGCCACCCCTGCATCAGAGACTAATATGGGCACTGCAGGAGGGTAGTGTCCCAAAGAGGATGCTATGAGCGGGAGAAAGAGGGGAGATACCACCAGAGGAAAGGCACCCAGCTGGCAAGAAAGAGCTAATTCCCAGGACAAATGGCTGGTGGCGCTGTGGTGGTGAGTTGGCCCTCTCACACATGGACTATCCCAGGGTTTATAAGAGAACTAGATAAATTCATGGAGGTTAAGTCCATTAATGGCTATTAGCCAGGATGGGTAAGGAGTGGTGTCACCGGCCTCTGTTTGTCACAGGGTGGAGATGGATGGCAGGAGAGAGATCGCTTGATCATTCCCTGTTTGGTTCACTCCTTCTGGGGCACCTGGCACTGGCCACTGTCAGCAGACAAGGTTCTGGGCTAGATGGATCTTTGATCTGACCCAGTATGGCCATTCTTATGTTCTTACAACCAGGTTACCAAGGAAGAGTGTGGATCTATTCATCAAAGCTTTAGGCTACGTCTAGACTGGCATGATTTTCCGCAAATGCTTTTAACGGAAAAGTTTTCCGTTAAAAGCATTTGCGGAAAAAAGCATCTAGATTGGCACAGATGCTTTTCCGCAAGCGTCCGTGCCAATCTAGACGCGCTTTTGCGCAAAAAAGCCCAGATCGCCATTTTCACGATCGGGGCTTTTTTGCACAAAATAAATCTCAGCTGTCTACACTGGCCCTTTTGCACAAAAGCTTTGGCACAAAAGGACTTTTTTCCGAACGGGAGCAGCATAGTATTTCCACAAGAAGCACTGATATCTTACATGAGATCGTCAGTGTTCTTGCAGAAATTCAAGCGGCCAGTGTAGACAGCTGGCAAGTTTTTCTGCAAAAGCAGCTGCTTTTGCGGAAAAACTTGCCAGTCTAGACACAGCCCTGGTGTCTACAAGATCATGTGTATCTCTAGAATAATATCACTGCCTTTTTAACTCTGGTTATTTTACCATTTGTATACCTTTCCGTATATCTCAATAAAAGTCTTCACGGCTCCATTTTGTGTCCCTGAGCATCCTTGTCGTATATCCAAGGGTCTTCTGGGACAAGAACCTTGTAATGTTCAGATCAGATGAATTGGTGAGCTGTCAAAGCTCCTTCCCCACTCTGGCACAATAAATTCAGAAGTGGGGGTCTGCAAAAGTACCCCAAAACCTTATCTTTCCTGGCTTTGGTAAAAAAAACTCCTCCCTCCCCCCCCCCCCAAAAAAATCTTAACAACCTAGATTTTGGGGATAAAAACTCCACTGCCACCACCCTAGTAATGATAAGAATATCAGGGGAGAGATCACTTGGGAAATCTCACCCCTAAAGTACAAACCAGGACACACAAATTAGCCAATACCAGGTAAAGAAAAGAGAACTTTTATTATCACCACAATATTCCTGTTGCAAGCATAGTGACTGGATGGTAGAGTCACAAAGTAATATACTCGTGAGGAATTCCACCATGGGCCAAAACTTAGTTGCAAAAGAGAGGAAAACCCCGTTTTTAAAGCACAGACATCACATCCCATTTCCCAAACCATTAAACAATAAAACGGATTTATCTAAACTTTACCCTGCTTACAGGCAATGAAGAGCCTTTTCTTGGAGGGAGACATCCTGTCTGTGTCCCTCAGTAGCTGGAGAGAAAAACCAAAAATTCGTTTGTCCCAGTTTGAAATTCCTACCTACATCGCTATTGGCCAACTCTACCTGGGTTAGGTGTAGTTAACCCCTTAGTCCCCAGGTGGCTGGCTAACCCTCATGATCATGACACAAGCCTATAACCAACGTTATCTAAAACTGTGAGTCATGACCCCCCTGTAATGGGATCAGCAGGGCTGGTTTGCATGTGATGAGCCTAGGCTGAAGCCTGATCCCCAGGGCCAAAGTCGGAGGGTTTAAACTCTGGGTGCTGGGAATCTGGTGACAGCCCCCACTCCCCCCGCCTGTGGCTGAAGCCTCTGAGATTCAGCTTTGTACCCCTGCCCAGAGCTGCGGGGCCAGGGCTGCCAACAAAGGGGGCAGTTGTCATGGGGCAATTTAAAAGGGTCCAGGGCTATAGGCTGCTGCTCATGATCCAGCCCTTTAAATTGCTGCTGGAGCCTTGCGTGGCACAGTCCGGGCAGGGCTGAGGGCTAGCCAGAGGAGGCATAGTGCGGTCCATGCAGCCTGGCTGCCCTCTAGCCCTGCCCGTTTTGCCCGGAGCCCCCCTTCCAGACAGGGCGTGGCAAAGTCTGTCCCAGCCTGGGGTGGTGCTCAGACTTTAGTCCCCTCACCCGGGTCAGTGGGGCTTGGGTGGGCTCAGATGGGGGTCATGTAGTAATTTTTGTTGCCGGAAAGGGCTCGTGGTGCGGTGAAGTTGGAGAAACCCAGATCTAAAATAAGGACACGAACCTCCTTACATCAGACAACGGAAGCTTCAGCTCCCATTGGGAGCAATGAGAGTTGAGGGTTCTCCGCGTTACACAGATCCAGGCGTTAAAGGCCAATCCAGCAACGAGTCTTTCCCAGGAATAGCTGAAATAAACAGGACTGTGTTTAGAATGAAGGGTCAGGTCTCTGGTTGGGGTCTCCAACAAGATGAGAGCACCTCCTACCGAGCAATCAGTTAAAACACCCACGGGCTAGTGAGACTCTGGTTTGCGCCATGTGCCCTGTGCCCAGCAATTTTCATCCCGCTGCTGAAAGTCAGTTGTGGAAATATTTTCTTGACGACCTGGGCTATAATTTCATCTGCGGGGGATCATTTTGCTCTCATTACTGGGAGTGCCTGAAACTTGATGCCGTCACATTTCTGAAGTATTTATGAAGCTTCTGTAACAGCAAACACAGCAAGGAGTTAGGGAGAGCAAAAGAGTCACAGCCTCAGCCAGACTGCGAAGGGTAAGGAAAGCGTCGCACCATGGGGCAGAGGATGGGAGCTGTTGAAAGATCCTTTGGGGTAGGTAAGGAATGTCCAGAGGTCAATAAAATCCAGACGTGTGAAGGTAACAGGTTGTCAATATTATGTAACACTTAGAAAAATCTTTATACTGTGTGTAACTTTCTGTGAATTCTATTTCTGTACATGCTATTTCTTGTGTGTCTATATATGCTAAAATATTATAGTGCATGTGATATAATGGAGCGCTCTAGCCTCATACATACTCATCTATCTTGCAAGTGACATATTAATGCCTACTAAACTTTTAAAAACCCTATTGACTTTTCACCATCAATGCTGTTTGCTTACACTTTTGGGGGAGGCACATTTATTCAATTTGGACAATAGAAGGAGGCAGCTTAGTTTCACTTTCTGTTTTTAGTCAGTTTCACTTTCTGGCTTAGCCAGAAGCCCCTGCATTTCTGTTTCCTGCACTTGCTGGTAAGATTCTGAGGAGTGGTTGTTCACCAAATTGTTTACTACATAGAAAATAGAACTTCTGTGTTCAGAATAGAATTTAAAACAAAATGAAGCCTATTCTTTTTCTTACATAAGAACATAAGAACGGCCGTACTGGGTCAGACCAAAGGTCCTTCTAGCCCAGTATCCTGTCTACGAACAGTGGCCAGCACCAGGTGCCCCAGAGAGGGTGGACCGAAGACAATGATCAAGCAATTTGTCTCCTGCCATCTCTCTCCAGCCTCTGACAAACAGAGGCCAAGGACACCATTTTATCCCCTGGCTAATAGCCTTTTATGGACCTAACCTCCATGAAATTATCTAGCTTCTCTTTAAACTCTATTATAGTCCTAGCCTTCACAGCATCTTCTGGCAAGGAGTTCCACAGGTCCCTGATCCAAAGAGCTTACAGTTGAAACTTTTATTAGTTTTAAACCTGCTACCCATTAATTTCATTTGGTGTCCTCTAGTTCTTCTATTTAGGGAACTAATAAATAACTTTTCTTTATCCGCCCTCTCCACACCACTCATGATTTTATATACCTCTATCATATCCCCCCTCAGTCTCCTCTTTTCTAAACTGAAAAGTCCCAGTCGCTTTAACCTCTCTTCATATGGGACCCGTTCCAAACCCCTAATCATTTTAGTTGCCCTTTTCTGAACCCTTTCCAAGGCCAAAATATCTTTTTTTCTTATTCCTAGGGTTACCAGATGGCTTAAAAAAAAATACCGGACACACTTGATCTCAGATCGGGGTGGAGGGGGACCAACCAAGAGGGGAGCGGGGCTGGCCAGGAGGAGGTCAGGGGGGCAGGAAGGGGTTGGGGGGGAGCAGGAATTGGGGAAACCAGCTGTGAGCGTGTCTACCAACCAGGCAATACGCAACTACGTACCAATACTCAGAATAATAAAACTAACTTAATTAGAAAATACTGGACATTTATATGTCCAGTATTTTCTTAATTTGTTTCCCAGACAGAAAGCTCAAATACCAGACTGGTTCAAAACCGGACACCTGGCAACCCTACTTATTCCACCTAAATTTGGGGGCCTCGATGGTGTGACAGTCTCTAAAAACTTAAAAAACAACAAATAGTCTGGTAGCACTTTCAAGACTAACAAAACAGGTAGATGGTATCATGAGCTTTTGTGGGCACAGCCCACTTCTTCAGATGACTGCGGAATTAAAACAATGTCGCTTCGAGCACTGCTCAGAATTAATGTACAAACTCTCAAAGCAACACATTTAATCAGCAGCTGAAATGACTGAGCCTTGGTCTACACTTAAAAGTTTTATTGGCATAGCTTTGTCCGGAGTGTGGGAAAAAAAATCAAAGCTCAAATGACATGGCTATAGTGGCAGAAACCCTATTGTGTACAGTTATTCTGTCAGCAAAGTACTTTTGGCAGCATAGCTTATTTCATTTGGGGACCTGCTTTAGGTATCCTAGTGAGATAAATAGAAAGGAACATAAACACTGTCAAATCAAGTGTAAAAATGTAATAAGAAAAGCAAAAAAAGATTTTGAGGAACAGCTAGCCAAAAACTCAAAAAGAAATAACAAAATGTTTTTTAAGCACATTAGAAGCAGGAAGCCTGCTAAAAACCCTGTGGGTCCCCTAGACGATCGAGCTATAAAAGGAGCAATCAAGGACGATCAAGCCATTGCGGAGAAACTAAATGATTTCTTTGCTTCAGTCTTCACGGCTGAGGACGTTAGGGAGATTCCCAAATCTGCACCGTCCTTTGTGGGTGATGAATCTGAGGAACTGTCCCGGATTGAAGTGTCATTAGAGGAGGTTTTGGAACAAGCAGAAAAACTTAATGTTAACAAATCTCTGGGACCAGATAGCATTCATCCAAGGGTTCTAAAAGAACTCAAATGGGAAATTGCTAAACTATTATCTGTGGTTTGTAACCTATCCAATAAATCGGATTCTGTACCTCTAATCCAGGGGTGAGGAACCATTTCTGGGTCAGGGGCTGCTGACCTACAAAAAAATCAGTCAGGGGGCCACACACAAGGAGCCAAACCCTCCCCCCAAAACATAACTGTCACTGACTTGATCCCCGACTGAGAAGGATAGACTTCCCACATTCTCCTCACACACCAGAGCCTGAGTGGGGAAGGTGCAGGCTAGTAGATTTTGAATGCTGCAGCCCTGCAATAGGGTGCCAACACAGGCTCCCCAATGCTGGGGGGGGGGGGAGAGCCCTGAGGCCTTAGGTTCCCCACCCTTAACCATTATGTGTGTGATTCTTCCACTGTTTACCTCCAGGAGTGGTACTTACTCCTGTGAGCAGTCCTACCAATTTCAATAGGACTACTTGTGTAAGTACTAACTCAACATGAGTACAGATGACAGAAATGGGCCCTGTTCTTATTCATGGTGTGGTTAAAGTTCTGACCTCATTAGTGTCTGTAAACTTGCTGAATTTAGTGGGAGAAAATGAGGGCAGAGTCAATGACGTTATGGACCTATATTTTAATTCAATTTTAAGACTCATTTTGTGTATCTTCTGCTTACAAATAAGATCCTCAGTTTGAATACCTCCTCCTGTAACTCGTAGAATTTTCACTAAACACAGCTATTAGTTGAAACAATAGTAAAGAATAAAATTGTGAAGCATGTAGAAGAACATAATTTGTTGGACAAAAGTCAACATGGTTTCTGTAAAGGGAAATCCTGTCTTACTAATCTATTAGAGTTCTTTGAAGGGGTTAACAAACATGCGGACAAGGGGGATCCAGTAGATATAGTATACTTGGATTTTCAGAAAGCCTTTGACAAGGTCCCTCACCAAAGGCTCTTGTGTAAATTACATGGCCATGGGATAAGAGGGAAGGTCCTTTCTTGGATTGAGAACTGGTTAAAAGACAGGAAACAAAGGGTAGGAATAAATGGTAAATTTTCAGATTGGAGAGGGGTAACTAGTGGTGTCCCCCAAGGGTCAGTCCTGGGACCAATCCTTTTCAACTTATTCATAAATGATCTGGAGAAAGGGGTAAGCAGTGAGGTAGTAAAGTTTGCAGATGATACCAAACTGTTTAGGATAGTCAAGACAGAAGCAGACTGTGAGGGACTCCAAGAAGATCTCACCAAACTGAGTGATTGGGCAACAAAATGGCAAATGAAATTTAATGTGGATAAGTGTAAAGTAATGCACATCGGGAAAAATAACCCCAACTATAGGTACAGTATGATGGGGGCTAATTTGGCTACGACAAATCAGGAAAGAGATCTTGGAGTTATCGTGGACAGTTCTCTGAAAACTTCCACACAGAGTGCAGTGGCGGTCAAAAAGGCAAATAGGATGCTAGGAATAATTAAAAAAAGGATAGAAAATAAAACCCAGAATATCTTACTGCCCCTGTATAAAACTATGGTACGCCCACATCTTGAATACTGTGTACAGATGTGGTCTCCTCACCTCAAAAAAGATATTTTGGCCTTGGAAAGGGTTCAGAAAAGGGCAACTAAAATGATTAGGGGTTTGGAACGGGTCCCGTATGAAGAGAGGTTAAAGCGACTGGGACTTTTCAGTTTAGAAAAGAGGAGGCTGAGGGGGGATATGATAGAGGTCTATAAAATCATGAGTGGTATGGAGAGGGCGGATAAAGAAAAGTTATTTATTAGTTCCCATAATAGAAGAACTAGAGGACACCAAATGAAATTAATGGGTAGCAGGTTTAAAACAAACCAAAGGAAGTTCTTCTTCACACAGTGTGTAGTCAACCTGTGGAACTCCTTGCCAGAGGAGGCTGTGAAGGCTAGGACTATAACAGAGTTTAAAGAGAAGCTAGATAATTTCATGGAGGTTAGGCCCATAAAAGGCTATTAGCCAGGGGATAGAAATGGTGTCCCTGTCCTCTGTTTGTCAGAGGCTGGAGAAGGATGGCAGGAGACAAATTGCTTGATCATTGTCTTCGGTCCACCCTCTTTGGGGCACCTGGTGCTGGCCACTATCAGCAGACAGGCTAGTGGGCTAGATGGACCTTTGGTCTGACCCAGTACAGCCATTCTTATGTTCTTATATAGTGGCAAAGGAAATGTTTTGCCTCTATAGATTATCTTGCTAAGGCAAACCCCTTTTTCCTATAGACAAACGCTAAGATTGTGCAGTGAACATTTACAGTCTGTTTTGTTGGAGCGCTCTGAATTAATTGTTAAAAATTGCTCTGCTATGGAAAGAGGCATCTTTTAAAATCAAACTTATATTTTCATGATCGCTGCCAGGTTGAGACGTCTCATGCCATGTTCTTGTTAAATCACATACTCGGGGATTGCAGAAATGCCCAGTTGTTATTGTGAATCCATCAGGCAGTAAAGTACATCTGTGTCTCTATGAACCTAATAGTATGATATGCACAGCAGCAGAGCATGTTCTATCCACATAAAAGATTAATAGACTGGAAGGGCAGAAGGAACCATTAGATAGATCATCTAGTCAGACCTCTTGTCGCACAGGTCAGAACTTCTGTACTGAAAGCAATGACTCATGCCTGACAAAATAGCTCTGCCAGAAAGGCATCCAGACTTGTTCTGAAGACACTGAG